ATCGTTATAATCTCTATTCTCTTCCTCTATCCTTTTCTTTACATTACACATCCTCACCTATCCATCATCTCCTCAAATCTCTTCACCTCTTCCTCTTTCATCTTCCTCCTCACTCCTCCTCCTCCTCATTCTCCCTCTTCCTCCTCCTCCTTCTCGTCACTCTCCTCCCTTTCTCCACCCTCTCCTCCTATCCTCCCCCTTCCTTTAACTCATCCTCCTCATTCTCCTCCTCGCTCCTCCTCTTCCAACACCCTTTACGCCAAGAAGAGCCAGAAGACGTTCCTCAAACTCCTCCTTCCCCTTCACTTCTCCTCCTCCTTCCCTCCCTCTCCTTTCCTCCTCCTCCTCTTCCAACACACTTTTAAAACACCAATGCCAAGAAACGTTCTCCACCTCCCTCCCCCTTCACTTCTCCTCCTGCTTTCCCTCGCCCTCTTCCCTTCCCTGCTCCCCTTCCACACCCTTTACGGCCAAAAGCCAGGAAAGGGACAAAAAACAACACTCCCCAGTCGCCGCTGATTCCTTGCAAAGCTAATTGTTTATTCGAGTGTTCTTCCCTCCTCCCTCTCCCTCCTCTTCCTCTTCTCTCTCCCTCCCCTCTCTCCCACTGCCCCTCCCTCCTCCTCCCCTCTCCCTCCTCCCTCTCCCCTCCTGCCCCTCCTCTCTCCCCCCCACACGGTACGGAGACCACAAATTCCCGCTCGAAGTCTCCTCGTCCTCTCTCACTCCCCTCTCCTCCTCTCTCTCCTCTCTCCTCTCTCTCCATCCGTCTCGCATCTCTCCTCTCCCTATCTTCCTCTCTCTCCCTCTCATCATCTCTCCCTCCTCCTCCTTTTTTTCTTTTCTCTCCCCTTTTTTTCCTCTTTTTCCCCTCCCCTCCCTTTTTCTTTTTTCTCCCTCCTTCTCCTTTTTCTCTCCTCCCCTCTCTCCCTCTTCTCGATCTCTCTCTTCTTCTCCCTCTCCCTCCTCCCCTCCTATCCTCCCTCCTCACTCGTCTCCGTCCCCTCATCAATCTTCTCTCTCTCTCTCTCTCTCTCTGCCTCCTCTCCTCTCCTCCCCTTCCCATCCCCCTCCCCCTCCTTCTTCCCTCCCCTCCTCCCTCTCCCCGCCTCCTCTCATCTCTCTCGTCACTCTCCCGTTCTTCACGTCTGTCCCTCTCTCCCTCTCCCCT